TCCATGAAAAAGGGTGAAATATTATTGAAGAAAAGAATTTGGTTGATATTCTTGATAGACTCTGAACCTATGTATGGAGTTATTTTAGAATTTATTTCAGAACAAAAAAATGTTTTCCTTTGACTCAAGGACAAACTCTGATAGTCCATTAAGTTGAGAATGATAATGTTAATTACTCTTTATTTAGTACTTATTAGGTGTTGGGCAGTGAACTTATATCATCCTTCATGAATAGGAAAATTGAAGCTCAGACAGGTTAGGTAATTTATCCCAAGGCACACAGTTAGTTAAAGGCAGACCAGAATTCCAACCAGGTTTGAAGCCCTAGTTCTTTCCACAACATCATTATGGCCTTCCTAATAGGGATCCTTCTAACTTTAAATAAAAATATACCATAGTGCAAGTCATAAATACAAAAATACATCCATTCATTGAAGTTAGAAAGTTATAACACCAAAATGGGCAATGCATATGAGCTATGTTCTTAACTATGTTCCTGGCCTGGCCCAACCCCACCTCTTTGCTGGCACTCCATATATTGATAATAGAACGGTGGGTCCCTATAACTTTGATTAAATTTCATTTTAAATCCTAGCTCTAGAAATCATCCCCCGCCCACCCCCTCCACCTCTCAGAGACCTGACCTTTTCCCTGGATAATCAGCGACCCCGCAGGCAGCAAAGACAGTAGCCTGGACCTAATGGTCACAGGGACCAGACCTCTGGCAGGCTAACGATGACATCTTGACCTAAGTTATGTTTCAGCTCCTGAGCCCTAAGGTGGAATATCCCCCTGGCTACTTTCCCATGAGACCTGACAGAGAGATGCAAGACAAGACCTCAGAACTCTCCTCAAGACCTGAAAAAAATGACTCATTACCCTTATGTCCAACCAATTAGCTCCTAGCACACCCCCTAATCCATGGTGTACCTACAAGCCATCGGGGAACTCTGCATTTTGAGTACTAGTTTCGGGCCTCCATATGGGCCAACTCAATGTTAAACTTAACTTTTCCCTTTCCCTTTCCCTTCTTTCCTTCCTCCCTTCCTCCCTTCCTCCCTTTTCTCTCTTTCTCTCTCTCTTTCTCTCTTTCTCTCTTTCTATAACAGCAAACGCCTGCTCCTGCATTTCTCAGGGCCAGTACCCACACCCAAGTGGACTCAACAAAAAAATATTGGGGATCTGGTACAATGACAGTTATTCCACAAGCGTTCCAACATCTGGGGATATGGACCGAAATCCTTGGTCTGGTTTCCAAGAGAGCCCGGGAGTTTCTAGCTAGGGGCAGAATTGTAAGATCAGTAGAGAAAGCAGGGGGTGGAGATGGGAGGGAGAGGGTAGCAGCGCCACCGCGTCTTCAGCATCAGGGAGTGCCGGGTCACTGGCGCCGCGGAAGCCCGGAAGTCCCGAAGCCCGGAAGGCCCCGGGCCGAGGCGCCGGACCGGAAGTTGTCTCGGCCCCACCCAAACAGGGCGGCTTTGGCGACGCTTGCCCATGTCCCCTAACCTTTCGTAGCCAATAGCGCCGCGACGCTCCGGTGACTCACTGGGGCGACCTATTCACGACGTTAGATGATGCAACGTTCTAGTCAAGGACTCCTCAGGTCCTTGTTTCGGTGACAAGGCTGCGGCGTGTTGGTAGACGATGTCCTTGGAGGTAACCCGGGCGACCGCAGCGATGGTACTCGGTGAGTGAGGCTCAGGGACCCCGGGGTGTGTAAGTGGCGCGGTGCCCCTTCCTGGAGCAGGAACCTCGTTCCGGCCGATTACCAGCACGCACTGATTGCCTGGCACAGAGTGGGCGCGCCATCACTGTTCACGTGCGAATGACTGGCGCGCGGGCGTTAGGGGCCCGGACCCGTGGGCCGGGACTTGCTGGGCTGGCCCGGGCTTCCCTCCAGCCATGCGTGCCCGGGGCCAGCATGGCGGCCGCTCCCGGCCCTGCCCCGCCCCACTGCAAAAAATGCCGTGATACCGCTGAGACTTAGGCACCGTCAGACATCAAAGGTACCCCAATATATGAAGCTCTACAGAGTGATCGTCAGGAAAGGACTAGAATTCTAATTTTCTTTCACACATCCTCATTTATATTGAGATTTCCCGGGAGACCTTACAGTGTATATAGAAAAAAGAAAAACGGAGACCTGGTTGCCACTGCTCAGACTTAGCTGTGAGGCCTTCTGTGATTTGTTTCACCTCAGAGCTTTGGTTTCTTTTAAAGGCCGGAGGGGACTGGTATTTATTTGACATCTGTGCACTGGCACTGGCATATCTGATTTGTTTGTGTAATTGTATTTCATCTTCAGTGCAGTCCTTCATGATTGGTATTGTTTTCTTCATTTTTTAAGGCGAAGAAATAAGCTCAGAGAGTTTAACAGAATTTTCCAGGGTCACCCTGGCTTTTAAGTTATAACATTCCAAGATTGCAGTCTGGTCTGGCCAACTTCAAAGCTCCTCTTTATTACTGGGGTCTCAAGTAGATGGAAGCAGTATCACAAATTAAAGTGATGAAAGTTCATTTTGCAAAGCTAAATTTGTAACTAATATGTTATGAGATGAATGTCATTGAAATAGGGGGCATGGGAAAATCATTATATAATTTTTTTGTACTGTGGTATTTTTTATTAATCAATGAGTGCTCAGTTTACAAAGATAAAGAATGGATAACGTAGTATGAGATGATTGATAATTATTGTCCAAATGAGTAACTTATTCTCATTTTGTAAAACAGCAGAGCTATATGTCTCAGACCGAGAGGGAAATGATGCCACCGGTGATGGAACCAAGGAGAAACCTTTTAAAACAGGTCTAAAGGTAGTGTCTCTTCTCATAGGAGAACATTTATTAATGACTTGCATTTATTAATGACTTATGTCAATTATTAACGTGACTTGTTGATAATTTTGTTTCAAGCACTGGGTTTTGAAGAGAATTTTCAGAAAAGGGCATGTAAGGATTGTATACAGTTATGTAGCTTTAAGAGTATTAGATAATCTGTCTAAACTTATTTGAACATTTTTAAAAGGTGTCTTCTTTTTTTCCTTATTGTGCAGCATTGCTTCTTGTCATTTTTCTTTCCAGTGAGTCAAATGGCTAGTTTAGCAATTCTTAATAGAAATAAAAATCAGCTTCCCTCATGCACAGTGAGCTCATACCCAGGTTTCTTCCAGATTGACTCCTGAGGCCTCTTAGTGAATTTGCCACTAAAATCCGGATGTGATCCTGAGCCTTGAAACTCAAAGACCTAATTTATATCATTACACCAAGAATGGACCTGTTTCTCAGAACACATACTCAGTAACTCATGAGTCTGGAGCTTGAAGCCAGATACTAATTTATTAATATACTATTATTTCTCAGGGGCTAGAATCCTTGAATGAGTTTAGCATATTTATTTTCTCTAAGCAGACATATCTGGAAAGGCAACTACAGATCAGGGGGGTATTTATTTAGGTTACTATCAAGTGCTCCTGTCCTGGGAGCATTCTGTCTCCTCTTTTAGGCCACACTCTATGATTATGCTTTGATGTATCATATGTAGGTCCAACTTCTTTAACTCTTAGAGGAAAATCTTTCTCTGATTTCTGGGTTGTTGGGATGACTTGGCTCTGCATACTCACAACACTGATTAGGTGAATGTTTGTAGAATGTCACTGTCAGCAAAGGTGCCATTCTGATTTGGGGAATTATAGTTTGGGTCTTTCAATTTCAGTGATATAAAAGGGTTGATTAGAGTATCAGGAAGTATATAAATTCCTAACGATTTGCAAACATCCTGCAAAGTCTAATTCTTAAAAAGATGAACTTTGATGTCTTTGATGTTTTTAAAAGGTCCAGGTTTCCTCCTCCTCTGCACCAATCATTGATTTGGAACTATTGTTAAAACAAGATGAAAAAGATTTATCAGGTTAAAGTGGGTCATTTTTGTAAGCTTCAGACCTTGAGACTGAAGGCAGTAATTCCCTACATTTCTTGGTTGACTTAATATCTTGGGAGAAAAATTGAAGGAATATTTGAAGCAGTTAAGAAAACATCTACCTTTTACATACCTTTAACTATCTATTTTTTAAGAAACCAAACTGTAAAATAATAATGACAACAATGCCTAATGTGTCTTAGTATTAGTGAAAAAAAGGTATTATTCAGGTGATTATTTTTCAAATTAAATGAAGCTTAGTCTTTTGTGTTCTTAACCATTATTTTGCTGAAAGAGTTTCAGAAATAACTTACTTCTCTGTTTCTTAGCAAAGATTAACCATTTAGATGTGATCTGCAATTGGTTTGTGCTATTGTCTTTCTCCTCTGTTGTTGTCAGCATAGCTCTATCTGGTCCCTACTGCTACTTAAAATTGGTTGCTTCTAGTCTGCTTGTACTGGGAAACTGTATACTGTGTAACGTAACTTCCTAGAATTGTTTGCAAAAGGACCTGAGGGCTTCTGCTTTAAACAAAATGTTCTTAATACTTCAACCAGCCATTCTAGCTACTTCTACTTTTGACTTTTGGGGTCTTTATGCTTTCTGTTTGGCTCTTGATTATGTTCTAGATAGTTGAAGTTGCCCTATAATGAACGAAAGTGTTATTCTGATTTCAAATATTGTACAATGTTAAAGACATTTTCTTTTTCTCCCTCCTCACCCAAGGCTTTGATGACAGTAGGAAAAGAACCATTTCCTACCATTTACGTAGATTCACAAAAAGAAAATGAGGTAGGGTGAGCCACAACCTTTACAGAATTATGTTTTCTGAATAAATTTTCATCAGAACATAGAGGTCTTGAAAATATCAAATATCTGTTTTTCTCTCTAGAGGTGGGATGTTATTTCTAAATCACAGATGAAGAACATTAAAAAGATGTGGCATAGGGAACAAATGAAGAGTGAATCCCGGGAAAAAAAAGAGGTGAGCAACGAATTTGCCACTGTGAACATTTTTTAGGAATTAGAACACTAGAAACCACCTTAACAAATTGCTTTGTTTTTAAAATTAGGCAAAAGACAACTTGAGAAGAGAAAAGAACCTGGAAGAAGCGAAGAAGATTACCATTCAAAGTGATCCAAGTCTTCCAGAGCCAAAATGCGTAAGTATGACAGGTATTGTTGTGAATGTTGTGGACTTGCTACATCAGACTGTTATTTCTGTGTCTGAGGGGACTGCTGTGAGGTTTGTTCCTTTGATTTGTCTGTCTTTCCTTTTCATTTAGAAGGGATAGAGAGAAATAATGTTTTAGAGTTTTGAGGCTGATAGTTTTGGGGGGGGGGTATTTTATTATAAAGTTTAATAATTGTGTGTCGAATGAATTCTGTCCTGATCAAAAACTGGCAGGTCTGGGATCCATCCAGCCTGGCTGTGCTGTGTGGTGTTGGTCGAGTGTTTTTACCCTCCCAAAGTGTCCGTTTCCTCACCATGAAATAAAAGGTGGAAATCTATGATATTTTAAAATGCATAAAACGTTTGTGATTTTATGAAATTGGATTTCTTCTATATTTTTTTAGGACAGAATATTGGACTGTGAATGGGCATGCTTAGGTTTCAAACAGTTCTTATTGCTGATGAATTGTCATATTTTTTTCTGTTTCCTTAGTGAGTAAGCTGTTTCTAGGTTGTATTCTCCATCCCCTTTCTCCACTCATCTCCCCCCTCCTACATACCCCAAACAAAAAGCTAGCTAGCCTTTGTTAATTTCCACCTCCCAGAGTGCGGGGGAGGGACTGTGAGGTCAAGGCTAAGGGTCTGTGTGGACTTGAGTCATTGCTATTGTGAATTCATTTATTCACTGATTTTCTATAGTGGTCTCTGAAGTTCTGTGTCTTTCTCATTGTTGGTTTCATACTAAGAGAAAGAAGACTTTGTTTTTATTTTTTTAACCACTCCAGTATGGTGATATTTTTTTGGTTCTGACCTGCAGTGGAGTAATTAGCTACAGTTTTCCACAATTTGTGACTTTTTACCACTTTACTGCCATCCATCTGATATTACTGAAGTTGATATGTGATAAATGGCACGATTGTTCATATGTTATTTATTTTAACTTGACAGGTGAAGATTCACGCATTAGAAGGATATAGAGGCCAAAGAGTAAAGGTGTTTGGCTGGGTCCACAGGCTGCGTAGGCAAGGTAAAAGGCATGGCTTTCCTTTTCTCTTTTTTATTTTTAAATATTCCTGGTTTTAGATGAAGAAGAACATAAAAACATTTACTCAGAGGTATCGTGGATTTTGGATGCTAGCTTTTTAAAGGTAATAGTGATCAGTATCCTAAATTTGTTCTTATTCAACATGACTTAAAAATCTTTAAATTATTTAAATGCTATTTAACTGTAAGCAATTAGTGATTAAGAGGTATCCAGTAAATATTTGTTTAATTGAATTTAATTATTTAATGAAAAGCAGGGGACGTATTACAGAAAGTAGAGAGCCAAAGCTGAAACTAATTTTTGGCAGTAGTGTTAACATTTATAATTAGTATATTTACATTCTTCTTCTCCCCAGGTCTTGATATTTTGCTTTCTCTTTCTCTTTTCGTTACTCTATTACACATGTTTTATTGTAAGTGTTTATCAAATCCCTTGTCCTTGTAAAAAAGAAGTGGGACATAAATAAGAAAAAGTGATTCTGTATGACAGTATTTATGTACCTCCCACTGAGCGCACAGTACCACACTAAGCATGGCAAGGGATTCAGTGGTTAATAAGACTAATCCTCATCTCATTGCGTACTCTCTTGCTTTCTCATCATCATGTGGATCATGCAGATCACATCGGATTTGAAAGAACAATGAAGAATATAAAATGCTTTACAAATACTGAGCAGTGCCATTCAGGGGAAGGGGGCCACATGAGAGATTTGAACTGTCAATGTTTGACCTTGGAGTTTCCTTTATATGAGATTGAATTATGAGAAAGTACTTTTAAATGCCTTGAGAACAGTCCAGCTAAATTTCTCTTTCTCATTTTTAGGAAAGAATTTAATGTTTCTGGTGTTGCGAGATGGTACAGGGTATCTTCAGTGTGTCTTGTCAGATGATTTGGTAAATATTTTCTCTTATTCGTAACTGAAAATTTGATTTTTTTCAGTAGGTTCCTTGATCGTTAATTTTGGGAATTTTAGGATCTGTATACATATTTTCAGCTGTTATTATGGAAAAAATTTATTTGTTGGAAAAAACCTGGTTGTTTGTCCTGTGGAATTTCTGCCATTCTGTATTCGGTGTAATTTAACATGTTCCTTTACCGTCTTTATTTTTCATAAGCTGGATTTAGGTCTAATCAGATTCAGGTTCTTTTGGAAGAGGGTGGTACATGACTATTGCACGGGCAAAACTGTGTTCTTCCAATTGCATTGTCATGAAACACATAATATCCGATTGTTTTTGTTTTATTAATTATGGGTTTGGGTGTTGATAGCGCAATCCCTTCATTATAAAGTTCCCCATCACTTTTTTGCTAATGATTTTAGCAAGTATTGGTGATCATAGCTTAGAAGGACTCTGTGTATTATTTTAACAGTCTGAATTTTAAAATGAAAAATGAGCTTTTTAAATACTTTTAAGTGTCATTTATGCCCATGTATGTATGTAAAGTACATATTTACATTTTTATATATATATATAGATAAATCTTTCATAGAAGTAGCTGTTCTTTATTAATATTAAAGATTGATGGCCATCTTATTTTACTAGTTTTGGAGCAGAAAATTTGGTTGTAAATAATCCCCTTTGCTTATGTATATTAGACTATTTTAATGTAAAATATGAATAACTAAATTTGAACTTGATCTTTCTTCAGTGTCAGTGTTACAGTGGAGTAGTCTTGTCCACTGAGAGTAGTGTTGCAGTGTATGGAATACTGAATCTTACTCCGAAGGGCAAGCAGGTGAGTGAATTGAGTTCCTTACTGGCTGAATAGGTATTTGTAGATTAGTTTGTTTGTTTTCCAATATCTTTATTTGTACTTTTGGTATTTGGCTTATAAAACACAAGTACAGTGCACTTGCTTAATTTAGTATGCCTTTTCATTTTCCAGTGAAATATGAACACTGTACAGCTCATAAGATGTAACAAACTTAGGGATTTCCAACCTTATAGAATTCATAAATAATCCTCATGGGCCATAATGTAGCCACTGTGCTGTGTGTATGTGAATAATTTTTCAGCTAGGTAGAAAAACTTAACAATCTACCCAAAGAATTTCGGGAAAGATCAGTAATTTAAATCTGAAACTTTCTGAATAGAATTTGAAAGCCTCTTTTAAAGAAGTTAAATAAAACTCTGATATTCAGAAAGCTATTTGTTCCAAAGCCAACAGGCACATAACCTATACCAGTTAAGAATTACTTGTTGGTAATTTTTGTTCATATTTGTTGGCTGGGAAAGAAAACAAACAGATGTGACATATTAACCACCAGAGGGAGCCCCTAGAGTCTACCTAATAGACTAGAAATAAAGTTGAAAGAAAGTCTCCCAGAGGAATAGCTTTGAGTTAAACTTTTGCATTTAAGGAGTTTTTCAATGAGGATATTAAGTTATTTTAAATTATTGGGCCAAGGCTGAAAAGATATACCAAAATACCAAGTATGTCAATATGAAATTAAATTATTGGGTCTTGTTTTTTAGAAGGGTAGGCTAATAATAATGAAGTTCTTAGAAATAGCAGCTTACCAAAACTTTTGACATAAACTAAAATCTTTAACACTGTAAAATTTTTGTCTTCTCCCTTTTTCTTCTTTCTCCCACTCCCTTTTTTAAAATGTAGGCTCCCGGGGGCCATGAGCTGAGTTGTGACTTCTGGGAACTGATCGGGTTAGCCCCAGCTGGAGGAGCTGATAACCTGATCAATGAGGAGTCCGACGTTGACGTCCAGCTCAACAACAGACACATGATGATCCGAGGAGAGAACGTGTCCAAAATCATGAAAGCACGTTCCATGGTCACCAGGTGCTTTAGAGATCACTTCTTCGATAGGGGGTACTGTGAAGTGAGTGTGCATTCATCATCTTGCAAACAATACCTTTCGCCATTTTTAAACTTGAATAGAGGTGCTCACAATAGGCCTTTATTTATTTACTCCTTCCTTCCATTTGAACAGGTTACTCCTCCAACATTAGTGCAGACACAAGTGGAAGGCGGCGCTACACTCTTCAAGCTTGACTATTTTGGGGAAGAGGCATTTTTGACTCAGTCCTCTCAGTTGTACCTGGAGACCTGCATTCCAGCTCTGGGAGATGTCTTTTGTATTGCACAGTCATACAGGGCAGAACAATCCAGGACACGAAGGCACCTGGCCGAGTATGGAATTGTCTTTTTATTTAAAAAAAATTTTTAACAAAATATGTTTAGAAGAGCAATCCTTATGTAGACAAAGGATGTCTATGTAAAAATGTTAATATATTAAGAAAATATATGAAAGGAAGTTGAATAAATTAATGGAAACCATGTAAGAAGTGTTGCCTCTTAGGCCATAGGTAGCTAAGATCTAGTCTAGTCTTTCACTTGCCTCGATCCTTTATATGTTAAGGAATAAGCAAGAATTTACTATTCGAGGGCAAAAGATGGGTGGGCAGTCTAAAACTAATTGCAGAGTTGGGAGTAGGTTAACAAGGCTGGAATTTTACCTTTCTGGACAGTTGCCCAGTGTTAAAATCTTTGCTTGAGAGAAACTGTAGAAATGAAGAGCAGCTCTGAGCTAGTCTCTTGTTCTTCAGATACACGCACGTGGAAGCAGAGTGCCCTTTCCTGACCTTTGAGGACCTCCTAAACCGATTGGAGGACTTGGTTTGTGACGTGGTAGACAGAGTCTTGAAATCGCCTGCAGCAAGCATAGTGTATGACCTCAACCCGGTAGGTCTAGTGTCCTGTGGGAATGCAAATGATGATTTCTTCTTGGAAGGCAATGAAGTCTTTATCCTCAGTTTTTGTAGATTTGATGGCTTGGTGAACTTTGAAATTTCAATGACTAATACATACTTTTTGAGATAGAGTTAATATGTAACATTAGTTGCAGGTGTGCAACATAATGATTTAATATATATGTGTACTTGCAGAATAATGATTTGATATATGTATATTTGCAAAATGATCACCACAATAAGTCTAGTTAACATCCATCACCACACAGTTACAGTTTTTTCCCTTATGATGCGACCTTTTAAGATCTCTCTTAGCAACTTTCAAATTTACAACACAGTATTAGTAACTGCATTACATCCCCAGGACTCATTTATTTTATAACTGGAAGTTTTTACCTTTTGACCACCTTCACTCATTTCTGAACTAATATTTTGAAGACTAAAATTTGATACCAAACATTGCCAATAATTTCATAATATTTTAACTTACATAAGAGAAAGTTCATGTTTTCCATTTATAGAGATATCTGTATTTTTTTAGTCTGAAATAATATTTTACAATAATGCTAAATCGTTTTTCTTAAAATGGAAATTTTAGTGTTAATGGTTTCTTTATAGACACTGTATTTTTCCTTTTGACCATAGAACTTCAAGCCCCCCAAACGGCCTTTCAAACGGATGAACTATTCAGATGCTATTGTGTGGCTAAAAGAAAACAATATAAAGAAAGAAGATGGAACTTTCTATGAATTTGGAGAGGTATGTATTCTGTTCTAATCATTGTTTCAAAGACAGCATGATGCTTAAGTGGATTGCTACTTCTGCTTAATTAACTGATGTAGGAGGCATCTGCTTGTCAGATAAATGGTAAGAACAACTGCCTGAGATTGGCCAAGGATTCATTGAGTTAATAGGTATAGAGTAAGCCTTTCTGTAGTGTTCAGTAAACATTAGCAAGTTCTTAGCCTTCACATCTCATCCTTTGCCTCTTTCCTCTTGTTCCATGATCAATCACAAGCTCTAGTTATAATTCTCTGGGCTGGCAGGATGCTTCAGAAATTTGTGAACTGTAACGTTACATGCAAAATGTTGGTGTGTGTATACATTTGTTTTGTTTATCTGGAGAAAGTATCTGGCTCATTCAAAAAGGATTTCTCCCTCCAAAACAATGAACTAAAACTCCTGCTCATGTAGGAGATTCAAAGAAAAAAATAGCCATTGGTTAAAATGCAAAACCAAGAAAGAAGGCCTTGATGGGGAAGGTGGTGTGGTGCCCCAGCATGTATCCGTTTTGCATGGGGACACCCTCCTAACCTGAATTGGGGGTATAGATTATTAACATTCTTCTAAACCCTCATCCCTGTGCATTTAACCATTCCTTACACAGTATTTGCAAATCTAACTGCTTTACATATGTAATGTAACTACTGCTAGATAGAGTTTTGTTTTGTTTTAAGAAGGAATTTATAGGAAGACAAACAGTATAGTAGGTCTATATAAATTACACTTATCGTTTGATGAATTCAGTTGGTAATGTTTAATAAAATTTGTATTGAGAACTGTTATTATTTAATATTCTGCAAAGTGGTGCGATTGAGTGGAAAGAACACAAACTTTGGAGTAAGAAGGCTTTCCAGGGGGGATTAGCTGCCACTGCTGTCCTTACTGCTATATTACTGAAGGCCAGTGACCCTGCTCTCTGGTTCCTTATCTTTCCTGTGCCTTGGAGGTGTGATGACTCAATGAGCCAAATGCCTAGCAGGGTCCATGGTGCAGGAAGCCCTCGGCGCATATCAGCCTTTACTCCACATCCATACACATGAGGACGCTAGAGTAGACTGACAGTCTTTAGGCTTTTTGGAATGTACAGTAAGACCCCTTTCCCCTAATTAAATTTTATGCAGAACTCTAGTATGTGAAGCAGCAAAGAGCTGAGACCAGAGTTCTCCCACTTGCCTCCCACTTCCTCTCTACTTTAGTGGGTGGAGGGCTCTAGCGACTAGAACTTGAAAGCAGTTGTGCCAGGTGACTGCCCAAGCTCCACGTCAGTTCTTGCATTCAACAAATCAGTGACTCTTGTCCAGTTCTCTCAGTTTTTACCGGGACAAGAGTTTTCAGCTTTAACTGGAGTTTATGTGTGGTTTATTGAAGGGTGTTCTGAGAGAAAAACATTAACTTGATTCAGCATCATCTAACATTTCTTGGCTTAACTGTTCCAGATGTGGTTGCACTTGAAATCTCACATAGGTTATTTATCTTATGACTATCTTACTACCATCAAAGGCATATAGATTTATTGTAATAGAAATGCAGATAACAGGCAAGTTTAAAGATTGGTGTTATTAATAGCATGCACTGTGTTCTGGAGCTTTCACTGCTTATCTTGTGCCTTTTGGTACTAAGTGGACCGCAGTTGCTTCAGAGCTAGTTAAAACTAGCCACTGAAAAAAGTAACAGAGCAGCATCTAGTCTCAGTGATAATGGCTCGGGTGGTTTTCATCTGGTTATTTTTCGTTTTCATTCCTCAAGCAGCATGGCACTTGAGATATACTATGGAAGGAGGCAGGTCTATTTACAGTTTATTTAACAACTGTGTGAGTTTTTTAATACATTTATTTGTTCTTTGAAGAAATTGTCCCTTATACCCATGTATATGGGTTTTGGGTGGGTGCGTAGGCTCTCCTGTATTGCATTAATAAGGTGAAGGGCTGCATTTGGGTGAAAGAGCTGCTTCTGTCTTGTTGCATCTCGAACTGTAAATGTTAATGAAGTCTCATTTAACCTCAGGATATCCCAGAAGCTCCTGAGAGACTGATGACAGACACCATTAATGAGCCAATCTTGCTGTGTCGATTTCCTGTAGAGATCAAGTCCTTTTATATGCAGCGATGTCCGGAGGATTCCCGCCTTACTGAATCTGTCAGTTTGTGACTCAAATAGTATTAGTAATTTTGCTTTTAAAGGGGTGGGGACTGTCAATGAAAAGAGATACAGCTCATGACAAATTTCTCATAAATCCAGAATGACTATTTTGAGAAGTTTTTTATTTTTTGGTCCTCTGATTGGGTTTAACAGACCTTGTTAAATTATAGAATTTGAATATTTGAATTTTGCATGATCATAGTGCCCTTTTAGCTATAGGAGCTTAATTATGATTTTCATTTAAACTCTAGAGTAGTGTCTTGTCTAACAGCCTGGTAGTAACTGCATTTTATTCACTTGTCTGTAAAGGTTGACGTGTTGATGCCCAATGTTGGTGAGATTGTGGGAGGCTCAATGCGTATCTGGGATAGTGAAGAGATGCTGGCAGGTTATAAAAGGGAAGGAATCGATCCCACTCCCTATTACTGGTACACAGATCAGGTAAAAATTTTTAATACTCTAAAATATTTTCGTTGTAATAGTTCTATATAAACTGAAATTTTTAAAAGAAGAGAATTCAGGGTGGTACTTTGGCATTCGAAGAACCATATTCAGTTTTATGGTTATAATAATATGGCGTGCGAATATTGTTATTTTTATTTTTTCTAATATATGTTAACTTATTTGAAAACCTGTTTAACTGCTGGCTTGCTTGCTCATTGCTGCTGAATTTTTAAAACTTTGTCATTCGAACCTACCAACATCTAGTGGTATTTTTCACTTTCCTCTGACTAAGAGAGACATTGACTTATTTTAAAAGTTTGAAATCTCTTCTTCCACGGTGGCATTTAATCCCTGGTTTATTTTTCATACCAAATTATTTCTTCACACATAGTCCACAGTGGCATATAGATTAAGGGTTGAATCTTAATCGTAACAAGCTAACTCATTTCACAGTAGAAAATTTCAACTTTTTAAACAAAGTTGTAAACTAAGCATTCTTCTCTCCTTTTTAAACAGAGGAAATATGGCACATGTCCTCATGGAGGATATGGCTTGGGCTTAGAACGATTCCTAACCTGGATTCTGAATAGGTATCACATCCGAGACGTATGCCTGTACCCTCGCTTTGTCCAGCGCTGCAAGCCATAACCGAGTCCTCCTGAAGCACGAAGGAAAGAATACAGTTTGTGAGAACAACAGACTGCCTCTTTAAAAAGAACAAAAGCCAAGATCTTCCCATTTTTATTCCATTGGAGTATATCTGGTTCTGTTTTCTCTTTTTGTTTTCTATTCCTGCTATCACAAAAAGCAATCCAGATCACTTGAACATCAACTGACATCGATATTGTCATTTTAAGAAAAAAATATCCATTACAAAAGTTGGAATAATGATGTGGTATGTAACTCTGCAATTATGAATGCATTTCAGCATTTTGTCTACTAATAGGTTATGATCTTTGCCTCGTATATGCCATATATATAATTAAACAGTTTTTAATTATGGTCTAAGACATTCCAGTTTATCTTTCTGTACTTTTAAGTGTAACTTAAATTCTTTATATCATTTTATTATATCAATGAGTTAAACATCTTGGAGAAAAATTGACAATATGGTGTAAAAATCTGTATCAGAGTATAATTCAACAGTAGATACTTGAATTAAATGAATAGTCTCTTGTATCAGTTATTTTTTCTAAATCTGTATAGCTGCTTAATTCTGAGGCATACAAATACATATGGAAGAATTTGTAAAAATGGAATTGCCTTAACAATTTGAAATAAGAGCAAAATTTTTTTTCCAGTGCTTCAATGAACAGCATTCTTCTTAGTATTACTTTTAGCTAAAGAGGTAGGTTGATCTTCCTTCTTTCCTAGTAGTTCCTAAATAATTAAGAATAAATAAGTTCCAAAAGAATTTACAGCTAGAATCTTAATGATGACTGTAAGTGACTGAGTTGTCCCCACCATGCACTCAGATCTGATCTGTGCTACCTTATTAACTCTTAGCAGGTGTATTGAATGGCTTCATTTCAGATTTGGTTAATTTCTCCCCAAAAATGCATGTCAAGTATTCTCAATGTGATGTATTCACACCAGTCAATAAATAGACATGTAAAAGCTCTTTGCTGGCTTAAATTTTTTTAAGCTGAACATCTCTATTTCATATTATTTCATGCCTTATGCATTTTTTTATATTTTTATATTTCATGATGTGTATATGTATATTTTTCATGATATGAAATTAGATATTACTAAATTTGGTAGTCATTACTAAAATTACACGGGAATGATTTTTAAAAATTAGATGTGGGTCCTAGTCACATTTTTTTATAATCTTTTTGTGTTATTTTTGAACATATATCTTATTTTGCAATTAAATGAAATGACAGATGGAAATTTAGCCTGTATCTTAAAAAACACTTTAAGAGTGTGAACGTGCTCTAATTGCGTTCAAGTAGGCAATTTATATGATCAGAATTTAGGTGAAGAGGTTAGACTCAATCAGCCTGAGTTTTAATTGTGTAAATGAGTTGAGAGTTTTAAATACTGAAGGAGAGCAGTGGAATTAGGTGGGGATAAGGAAGTCAAGGTTGTGGTGACATCAGGCCGAGAAACTTCACGATGAGCAGCAGACGTCCCCCACAGGGCTTTCATTCCTTCACTGTGTAGTTGTTGCTGTAATCCAGGCATCACGACCCCAACCCATGTCCCTGCCCAGTGTCCAGCTCATGGACACCCTGCTTCTGAGCCCCTGCTTTTGTGGCACTCTCCCCTCGCTAGGCTGATATTCTTTGCCCCATGAAACCTGTTCCTGATGTGGTTCTTAAAGTTGACACTCACACCAAACATCCCTTCGTCTTTGGTACTTGTGTGGCAGACCTGCTCAAAGTTTTAGGGACAGATGGGAGGCTAATACTGTAGCAATTCAAATGACTTAGGTGTTCATTTTCTCTCTTCTTTAATGTCCTGCAGCCATTCCTGGCCACATCGTCCCAGTTTACTCCACGCTGGTTTTCTCTGTTTGTTTGGGTCTCTGTCTTCCCTGTTAGAGGCTTTCCTTGGCATAGTGCTTGGTTATCTGCTGAGAATTGCAAATAGAAGATAAAAGTGCTCAAAGTGTGTGGGTAGGAGATGTGTGCCTCGTGTTGGTTGAGCTGCCTGGGCCATTTAGCAAGAGCATCCCTGATGTCAGCATCCTTAGGTCTTTCCTCATAGACTGGTCGGATTCCAGACTTCCCATCTACTGTGGGTCTCTGCACTGTCAGTAAGTCTGGTTCCTCGAACTCCGTTCTTGCCAGTGGTCTTCTGCTCTAAACTGCCTGGTATCTCGTCCAGAGCCCTCGGTTGCTTCTCCAGGAATCAGACCTCCAGTCGGCTGCGGGGTGGGTGGGGACAGTCGCCTGCTGCAATGGGGGAATCTAGGCAGTCTGACCTCTTCAACAAACTTTTAATCTCTCATTGTAGCATCTCTCCTCTTTCATCTCCACTTCCAGACGTACGTGGTGCTGCCAATCCTGAACCACGTTGGGATTCTGTCATGTAAATCTGGATGGTTCTTGGCTTAGGAAGGTCAGCTTGGAATACAGTTTTCTTGGGTCTGCTAAATTATTAACCATTTATCCACCTCCCAGCTTCCAAAATTATGTTGCTATGGTTCCCTTTTCTTTTTTTCCTTATCCTTTTAGGTTTGTACTTCAAAACACCACCACCAATAAAACCTCTATTGACACTTTACTGGGGTTTGAGGGAGGGAGCGAAATTACATCCATGTTTTAGAGTCCCTGTTTTTACCCAAAGGTTTTTACTTTGTATTTGAAGACAAATCAAAAGAAAGTAGACATAAGTGAAAGGGGAAAAAAGTTCAATTATTAGCTATTAGCAAAGAGAGTGATGAATCCTCTGGAAATTGTTTCATAAAAATATGATTAATGAATGGTTAATTTCAATCCTTGTTTCTACATAGGTGACCACTAAAATTTCCTGTTGGATAGCTATACCTGTTTGTCCTTCCTATAACGTAAAACAGGTAAAAACAACAATATGAAAACAGTGAAAAAGCACACTCATCTTTGCCTCAAACCAGCTGTTCTGCTGACTAATGTGTTTCTCTTTTTTGGCCTTGCCAGGGCTGGAAACCTTGGCGCTGCCTGATTTCACCCTTCTCTGAGCACCAATGTGCCATTAACCACCTGCTGCTTCCCATGGCCACTCTCTTCAATACTTCTCAGGAGAACTGTGGCCCCTGTAACCACCTGCTGCTTCCCATGGCCACTCTCTTCAAACTTCTCAGGAGAACTGTGGCCCATCTCCTATTTGCTCACCCTGCTTGCCTCCCTTGCATGCTACAGTTTGCACCCTACTTGCTCAGTTATTTTTCTCAGCACAACCCCAACAGGCTTCTCTTCTCAGTCACTATCATGACTATTGGTGACTCCCATTAGCCTACAAAGTCCAAGCCCTTAGCACATTCAGGCTTCTTTCTGAATCCTTCGCATGTCTTCTGTGGTGGCCAAGTGAATGCCTTGCGTGCCGTTAGTTATCCTGTGCTCTTCTGCCTCCATTGTGTCCACTCCACATCCAGTATATTCCAAGCCTACTCCTGTTAAGTCCAAAGACCACCTTGATGACAAAGCATTCCTTCATCCACTCAGCCTGAAATCATCACTCGCTTTTATTAGGGAATCTTCTGCTCCCCTCTTGCTCCTGACCCTAAACAGGTAAATTTCCTGAATAACTATAATAATGCTTCCTAGCCCCCAAATCTTAGCTAAGTGTGAAACATCTCTAGATGTTAGAATTGGAGGAGGAGAAGTATGGAGGGTCTGAAAACCTCTCTAGGGTTGGGTTAGGATAGGGATACAGATTACAGGGAGAACTGAACCCACATAAAGGCACCACAGGCTGTTTTTTTTAAAGAAAAGTTTTCAGTCTATGGCCACACCACCCCGAACACACCTGATCCCCCCTGATCTCGGAAGCTAAGCAGGGTCAGGCCTGGTTAGTACTTGGATTGGAGACCACCTAGGAAGACTGGGGGCTGTAAGTGTAAAAAAAAAAAAAAAAAAAAGGTTTTATTAAAGTATCACGTTCATACAGAAGAGAGCATACATCATAAACATGCAACTCCATGAATTTTCACAAAGTGAACACATGTCCCCAGCTCCCAGAATGCCTACGCCCAGACAGGAAGGTGGAGCAAGGGCCTGCATGAAGCCTGGCCTTGGAGGGCTGGCCCTTCTATGAAAAGAAATGTAGAAAGCTGGCCCTGTAGACCAGAGGACAAAGAACCCTGCTGTCTGCGCAGGGCTGGGGTTAGGGAGTGAAAGCTTGCTGGGAAGAGTCAGCTCCCCAGTTTGAATGTATACACCTGCAAGGAGCAGGACCACTGAGCCAAGATACCACACAAACCTGGTCTAGGACTGGTGAAAGATCTGGATCTTGGCAGAGGCACCAAGAAAGGCTCTGTAGGGACCCTTCCACCAGCAGGGAATAGGTAACACTCAGGAAAAAAAAATTTTTGCCCAATATGTACTCAAAAAAGTCACAACCCCTGAAAAGAATGCATTTAGCCATGCAGTACGTGTCAATACTGGAGCGGGAGCCTTCTGAAACATGAACCCAGATCACTGCTAGAAGGTGGTCACCTGATAGACACAAGTCTTTAATCATCTACAAAGTCCTGCATTAATCGGCTGAAATTTTTTCCTACTTATCCCCACACACGCTACTCAAGATACGTTGTCTCTTCGCTATTCCTCAAAAGCTTTGTTACGGGTTGAATTGTGTGTCCCCAAAAGATATGTTGAAATTCTCACCTCTGATACTTGTAAACATGACCTCATTGGAAATAGAGTCTCCACAGACGTAATCAAGTTAAGATGAGGTCAATTTTCATCCAATATGACTGGTATCCTTATAAGAGGGAAAGCTGGTCGTGCAAAGACAGACACACAAGAATTCCAAGTGATGATGAGGGCAGAGATCAGAGTGATGAAGCTGCATGCCAAGGGGAAGCTAGGAAGAGACAGGGAAGGATTCTCCCCTACACATTTCAGAGGGAGCATGGCTCTGTTGATGCCTTGATTTGGGACTTCCATCCTTCAGAACTGGAAGACAAATTTCCATTGTTTTAAGCCACCTGTGTTGTGGTGTGTTGTTCCAGCAGCCCCAGGACAATAATACGAGCCTCAAATATGTTCCAGCCCTTGCTGCTCCGGACCATTCTGCTTGCAAAGTCCTGCAAGAAGCCTCTCTCACTCCCCACAGGTCCCTGCCCAAATGCCACCTTTGCAGAGCGTCCATGCCCAACACCGAAACAAGCAGTTCCTGCCTGCATTCCTTTGCTGCTGTTTTTTCTTTGTGGTCCCTAGCTATACTTGACATTCTGTCGTGTATCTTTCGTTTATTGTCTGCGTTGCCTTCTAGAATGTAGATTCCATGAAAGCAGAGACTGTCCCATTCATGGCTGCCTGCCCAGTGCCTACCATGTACCTGACATTGGGAAGCTCTCCATACAATCTGTATCTGTTTCAATAAGTGAACAAGCTACTTGAGAGTCCAGTTTTTCACTTTTTTAGCCTTCGCATTGCTTTCCTCATAGACTCTCAGTAAATATGGGCAAATGGACCCGTCAGCCCACCACCACTAGAGGGCTTAAGGCCCTGCAGGGTTAAGAGGGAAAGTCAATGCGGGTCGCACTGGCCTGGAGTTGGTGGCTTCTTGGCTGTAAAACAATTGTGGGGACAATCCAATTTCTCTGAGTAATCACTATTTGCCCCACATAGCCACTGTTTCTCTTGCATTGAACACCACCCCCACTTGCCTTGTTTTTCTGATTAAGGAAACAGAATTGAGTAATCTAAATTTAGTTTGTGTAGCTCCGAGGTGCCAATCATGGCAAATAATGAATTACGCGATCCCCCCTTCCCTGAAGCATTGAGCTGAAACCAACAAATTCATTTTATTTAGGACCACAGGCTGAACTCAGAGTACTGCCTGTGACAGGAGAGTGCTTTCCTCACTAATTATGTCACTCCGGCTCAGACAAACCCTCTTCTGCGAGGTGGGGGTGACACTTATCTGTGTTGGCCTAGAGACTGTGCCTTTGGCCCTCTGCTTGCT